GACACTACCTCCTGAACTCGGCTGTCATTCCTGAGGTGCAGAATCATACATTATTGACATAATTCCAAATTCTGGCAGAAAAAGTAAGAGAGGAGAAAAAAGGTGGATAAAAGTCAGGTTGAGAGGAGGGCAGGGAGTGTGAGGGTGAGTCAGTGAGATTATAGCGGGGAGGAAGAATGGGAGAAGGAAGTGTGTAATTGGTTGCTTGGAGAGGATTAACCTGTCTGCCTCCAGCCTCTCCTTCCACCTTAAACAATTTACTATATACCCGCGTTACCATGGCAACTATTCTCTCTGATTTTAACCCCCTCCCCTGTGGCACCATCACTTTTAAAATAAATGTGGCTCTCCCAAGGTGCATCCCACCCTCTCCCTGTGATACATGATTAATTAAGCATGAGACTCAGTTCACACTAACATAATTTATAGTATATTTTACCAGGTAAGCAGAACAGAAGCTACTGTACGCTACATTAGCATCTGGGTTTCCTGACTCCATCACTAAACACTATAATTAAAAGACAGGGAAGGGCATCCCTTTCCTTTTATCTTTGGATTTACATTTGATTGACGCTTTGAGACTTCTTACCACACACATACACGTGTACACATTTCAAACCCACACGCTCGCACACCCACACACACTCCAAACCTCAGATGCTGCCGCATGGCAAGCAGAAACTAGTTTGTGTGCGAAACCGCAGCCAGACAGACACAGAAACACAGACAAACACTCCTGTGAAAAGACACTGATGGTTTGCGATGGTTCCCACCATTTCGCTGTATGACAACACACAATAGGACAGGAAATAACACCCAGACTAGACACACCTTCATCCTGTATTCTGTCTGAACAAACACTTGATTGAGAATGCTAAGACTAATGAATGAATGATGAAGGGTTCGCTCTATTGCAAAAATGAAATGTCTGACAATAGTGCTGCCAGGTCTAAACACCGGCTCATTTAACACAAAATGTACAAAAAATGTAATTATATAGTTACAGTAGGATTTTTCAGGTATGGCTTACCTTGGTATATTGATTAAATACTCTATGCGCAGGTATACTGTGGGAAAAACATATATGTGCTACACATTGCCTGAACTTTGCAAGTTATTTTGCCATACACACTGTATAATCTTTGCAAAAATGTAGAGCTGCAAATCTGTTTCAATGGAAATAAATGACTGTTTGACAGCATTATTTTGTAATTTATCGACAATAAATAAAGATGGTCTGAAATCTTATTTTCTTAATTTGTTTTAACAACTAGTAGTAATCTTAGTTTTGCAGTTTTCATTTGTTGAGCCAAATCAACGCATAAAAAACATTCCTTGCTCTGAAAGAATTTTAGAAGGCAATATTCTCTTCTTTCAAATTATCTAGAATGTTAAGCACGAATGCTGTTTAACGAGAGTTTTTTTTCAACTTTGACTCCTGCGTCATGTTATAAAAGCATTGACATGGCTGCAGTAAATGTAAACGATTTTCTGTTGTGCTAATGGGAGCAGCTAAAGCTACACAGTGGCGATTGACAGCAACCCACCCATGAACTTCATGACTGATGTTGGATCAAATAAAGAGGCTGCTGACAATCCATGAAAGTCAGGCTTACTGGGATGAGTCTGAGTCAAAACTGATAGTGAGACTCAGATCGTTTTGAAGTGAGACATGTTTCACTCACCTGTGCAATAAATAGGTGTGGAGGAAGCTAGGTGAGCACCAAATATCGGATTAAAATCAAAAAGTGTATGCATGAGCAGAAAAGGATTCATTCATTAATTGATTTCACAAACTAACTACATTACACTCTGAGTTGTGTGTGTGTGTGTGTGTGTGTGTGTGTGTGTGTGTGTGTGTGTGTGTGTGTGTGTGTGTGTGTGTGTGTGTGTGCTTAGTATAGTGTATCGTACTAACGTACGTAA